ATTGCACCAATAGTTTATCTGCTCAATGGAATCCCACCAAATATTAGATGCTACAAAGAATGCTTCCAAATATTACTTGCTAAATAGAATCACCCCAAACTTTGACTGCTAAATGGGATGTCACCAAACATTACCTACTAAACTGCATCCCACCAAATTTCACCTGCCACACGGTGTAATCCCAACCCTTACCTGCTACTCGCGCAATGCTCCTTTGGTAAATGGAATGCCCTCAAACTTTATCTGCTAAACAAATGCCTCCTACAAACTAGCTCAACAAAATGTCTTCACACTTTACCTGCTAAACAATATGTGTTCACACTTTCCTGCTCAATGAAATGCATATAACTTTACCTTTTCGAAAAGGAATGCACCTAACTTTACCTGCTAAACTGAATGTGGCTAAATGTTTGCATATATACGGAATGCCACCAAACTGCAATAGCTAAACATAACATCCCTAAACTTTACCTTCTAAATGTAAATGGATTGCTACCAAATGCTACCTCCTAAATGGAATGGACCTGCTAAACAGAATGCCACTAAACTGTATCATATCTTTTTAAACGTAATGCCCTCAACATTTAATGATAAACCAAATACCCCCAAAATATACTTTCTTAATGGAAAACCTCAAAACGTTACCTGCTACATGGCATGGCCCCATACTTTACTGCTAAGTGATTCCAATCCCTTAAAACTTTACTTGACTAATAGAATGCTGTAAATGTTACCTGATAAATGTAATGTGCAAAACCTTTTCTTGCTAAACGGAAGGCATCCAAACTTTACATTCTAGACAGAATGCCCTAAAACTTTACTTGCTAACCAGAACGTACCACAAAATGCCCCCATGTTTTAAATCACTGCTTACTCCAAATAGCAGGCACTCCCTGTGATGATACAGCTAAAATGGAGTGGGGAAAATGGGAAATGCAGTGGCACCCTCATTTCTCCAAAAATTCACAAGTCTGCAACAAAATGTTTAGATTTAAATCTGATGTACGTGCTGCAGAAAGTGGGTGACCACTTTGCGATACCAAAGACCAGATTGAAACAACACAAAGCAGGTCCTCATGAATCCCATTTAAACATTTTAGTTACAGTATGTTTGAAAGAACTCAGGCCGTGTCATTATAAGTAGGGTGTCCTCTTACACCAGAGCCTGCTAATAGCTTTTATAAATAGATGCAAAATAGTCTAGCAGCAATACACATGGGGAAGTCTGTTCTTACTTTACATGAAACTCCCCTTTCATACATATCCAACGCTCGACTCTGGTCATATTTTATGATTGGTACCGTACTGGAGATATCGCCATAAAACATGGCTACACTAATGTTTAAGAGAATAACATTCAGTTTGATACCAAACATATAAATGAATAACATTAAATGTTATAAGATTAACTGTATAATTTGAAATACTGACATTGACAGAGTGTCCGATAGAGCCTCATAAAACCTTTCAACACTCCCTCAGCACACCCCTCAGAACCTTTGATTGAGTATGTCATTTCTATGAACACCCTCTTTGTGGACCAGAAAAGATGGCTGCATGAGAGCTCTCATTTGACATTGAAACTGATATGGATACCAGAAGACTCGTTTATGAGAAAACCTGTGACTCTATCAAATCAGACTTACTTTGAAGTAAATTAGACTCTGCAGAGAAACCAAAGACCAGGCAAAATGTTGTTAATACCTTTAATTTTAATTGCATTTATTTTGTTGTTGCTATTGTCTACTTTGTAATGTTTTCTATAAATATTTTCTTGCACTGTTTTTTCCTTTGTTTCATTAAAAGTATATTTAAAAATCATTAAGTTGAATTTCCAAATGCTCTAAATAAGAAATTAAGGAATTCTTGTCTCTCTGAAGAAAGCTTCCATATTTTTAACTCTGCTATATTCCTGTCTGTTGTCAGTAAGTATCACAGACAATTCGTAAAGATTAGAATTGCTACAACAGAGGCCGTGAATGGTGTGTTTCCATTAAAACATGCACTAGTGGCTACCATTTGGGTGTGTAAAGGGTTAACTGTAGGGTTAACCAACTCCAGTAATTGTCACTCTCAGTCTCCTTATGCGTAGATTGCTGTCCTGTGAGCTGGAAAATGTCTATGCACAATGAGGCTTGGAGCGCAGTTTTGAAGGCAGTGGTGGTGACAAACCTATTGCAAATAAAGATACCACATACTTTTTTTTACAAGTCCTTTATTTAAAAAAAAAAAAAAA